TATATATATATTTGTTTAAGAAGATCTTAAAACTGCATCACAGCTGTAAAGGAAAAGGCACTGGTTAGATTATGAATTCCAGCTGAATGTTTGCTGAAAGGCTATTCGGCAAAACCAATTCTTTCTGCTACATAGCATTTCAATACAGAAATTTTAAAAAAAGACATTGGTTAAAACAACTGTAAAAAATATATGTGTTATATCTACTATATCTCTGAGTAAATGGCATTTAGACATATTGGGGCTTAGTAAGAGAGTAATTATCTTCTTGGCTATGTTAATTTGAAATACCTAATCAGGTTCAGAAAGTTTCTACTGTATTAATTTTCCACAACTTAATGTGAAAGAATCACATTTCAGGATAAAGATTGCTGCTTTACTAAACTATCCCTTTTATTTTTAAATATGAATACTATAAATGCTCAACAGTGATTTTCACTGATGATATTTTTGTAAGTGGTTAATTTGCTCTATATATTGGCAGCCCTGAGGATACCTTTGGCCATACGAAATCTTAACCTTTGTCTTGCTGTTGAGCATGAATTCGTTTTGTGTTTCTGTGAGTGCTATCACTTGACTCCACCCCTTTAAACTGCTATATCAGTAGATAGAAATGATACGTAAACAAGCAGTATACATGATTTCTTTTAACTAGTGCAAAACAAAGCATGACACAAAAAAAATTCTATAATTTTTTAACAGTTGTGTAATTTGGAAAGATGGTAGCTGTCTCCTTTTGCTATAAATAAAGGTACGCAATCCTGTTCTCAAAACATGGATGAATATAAGCAAAATTGCTATAATCAAAAGTAAGTAACCAGTAGGCTGTAAGAGTGGTGAGGGCTACCATATGTAGTACTTGCAAATTTCTAGCTCTTTTGCATGTGTAATAAGATAGCAGATAGGACAACTACACTATTTACTAAAATCACAATCTATCAATCATAGACTGTCAAAAACAAAACAAAACAGTGAAGTAATCTTTCTATTGTCTCTCAAACAGAGAAATAGAAAAACATAGTAAAAATGTGAACATTACTTATGGTGGCATCTTAAGTATAGTCTTCCATTAAGGTTTTTTTTTTACTACAAATAACGTTATAATAGTGTCTTTTAGCAAAAATATTGGTATTAATCTAGCTATGGGGTAAACTATTTAATTGATGTTTGCCGTGCTTGTTTTATCCAATATTAAATGATGAGCGGGGGAATTTTCTAATTCTTTCAAATACCCCTGCATAAGACTGGGTATTTGACATATCATTATAAAGAACCTATACTTATAGAAAAAATATAATTTTTAGAGCCAGCTTTAAATAACCCAGTTTATCTTAAACTAAACTGAACATCTGAGCACTAATGTATAATAATTTATATACACTAATGTGTATATGCATAAACATAGATATTAGATAGCTAGATAAAAAGATTGCTAGATAGATACTGTAGATACTCATTCTTTCTCTCACTCTTTGCGTGTGTATATACTATATATATGTATATATACATATCAAGAGAGAATTAGTTGATCACTGTATGTACAGAGATTAATTTAGAGAAAGAAACTTATCATGGTCCAGATAATTAAGTGAACTGTAAGAGGAATTTTAAATTCATTTTTCAAATTTTATTCCTACAGCAATCCAAATTGAAAATGTGGAATAATTCCACATTAAACATGACTATTTTACAAAATTGTATTCAATTTCAATTTTTTCCCTGATTGTTGCAAAATTTAAATGATTGACTCATTAACACATTAAGACTATAGTAGCTCCAAAGAACAGCAGGGATCTAACTATGAAAAGATCACAATGGCTCCATGCTTTTTGATGTATTGGGAAGTAGAAGGAGTAATATTGTTACTTTTACACTGCTGGGGTTTTTTTTAGCCTTTCAGAGCTTATACTATGAAAAATTATTTGAGTGAAAAATGTATAAGAATACATTTATAGCTGTACCCAGTGAATAATTGTTTAATCAGTGGACAATGAGGCAGTTATTATTTGTAGATCTTGTGAACCTCAAAGCTTTAAAAGCAGCCTAACGCACTCTATTTCCAGCCATGTGACTGTAATTTTCAAATTTCATTGGACTCCACTGAAAATAACTGTTGCATTTTTGAGAATAAGGATACTTTTCCTGGTATGTTAGCTTTGTGACTTAAGCCTAATATTTTTACATATGCAAGTGCGCTTCTGTAGATGGAGATCGTTATAGTGATAGATTGATAACTAAAGAGATGGATTGATATACAGAGAGATAGATAGCTAGATAATTAGATAGATAGCTAGATAGATAGCTAGATAGACAGGAGGATTTACTGATTGAATGGTGCAGATATTGCTAGAAATAGTAAAAGTTTTGTGAATATAACCATATCCATAATTATATATAATGGAAGTGATACTAGTAATATGAAATTATTTAATTGCTATTATTATTATTACTATAATAGGTGCTTTGATATTAAACACGGGTCTAAACATCTGCTTAGTACTGCTGTCATTCAAGTGCTCCTCTCACGCCCTGTTGATGCGTAGTGTGATGATTCATAGCGGCGCTGGGCCTCTCTCCTCCCAGCTTCTGAATACGCTTAAACTGTACAGAATCCTTTCATCTCCACAACACCGGAAGGGAAACGCGATTGGCTCTTTTTTTTTCCTGTCTCCATAGATTTTGTTCCAGTTTGCAAACTTGCTTATGATCTTAGAATTCCTCTTTCTTTTGAAATCCATAACTTCTGCAAAGAAGAAATGTTAATGTTTTTTCTCAGTGAACCTGCCAAATTTATGTGTAATAATTTGCGAATGTGCCCCTTGTAATGGCAGAGGTCCTTAATGTGAAACCATGGTAGATTTGTCATTTTGCTGCTTTTCTAGGAAAATTTGTCAAAATGAATAGCAATTTATATTTATTGATTTAAAGATGATGGCATTGATTTACTGAAGAAGCACCTTTACACTGGCTCTGCAAACCTGTATTAACTTCAATAGTTTAGTCAATGTGAGCAGAATTTTAAAAACAGGGACATTTTTCTGCACATGATATGATATTGAAACCAAACAGGTTCTTTTGGTCAGTGTAATTTTTTTTTTTTTTTGCTGAATCAGGTTAAATAATTGAATATGTTTCCTGTGACCAGATACAGCATGGGAATTAATTAAAGTAACAGTCAAAGATTCGGTCATTAGAAATGTATATTTCTTGCAGATTTTTTTAAAATTAAGTATCTATAAAAATGTACAGAATTTATTAAAATAAAAATGTCTCTTATAAAGGAATGAATAAACAAATACTGCAGTTATATAGAAGCATAAACTGGAAGCTCTTACTATATGCAACCCTTCTGTTTATCAAAAGCCAGCAAATACACACAGCGATACTTAGGGCAATGTGTCACAATGCAGTGAATGTGATTTTCACCAAACATTCTCCTGTGGTGATTAAATCTCTCTCATTTAAAACACGTGCCTCTGGAAGATTCTCCTGTAGTGAGTGTTTAGTAAATGTTAGATTCATTGGATTGTAAATATGCTTCTTACAGTACAGAAGCATAAAAGACGTTTTGGTCTGTGTTGAAAATGCAGAGTTGGGGATTATACTTATGATGTTATGCTGACAGATTTAGGACTGGCATAGTAAATGCAGCTGAAATAAGAGTTTACTGCTAGAGCACAGCACAAAATATTACATGATCTGAGGCAAATAAGAATTGTATGATGGTCCACAGGAAATATGGACAAAAAACATGGAACCCCTGCCTGGTTCAATGTTGCGCTAAAATCAAACCCAACTGCAGCCTATATACATTGCCAGAAGCTAATCTTTGTAGACCTTAAACCTATGCTTGCTGACATATACAAAACCACTGAATATATGTGATTGTATCAGGTGTCTATAGAAATAGATAGTACAGTAAATTAAAGCAGGCATCTGGCTGCATCCTCCACACACAGGTAAATTATTAATAAACAAACATACTTCATGTGGAGTATTGAGCACTATATGCATTCTCAGTTATGCACATAATGAATTGTGACCTTTTACTCATAGAGTTGTACAGAATTGTGTCTTGTAGAAATACTTTATTCTAATGTAGCCCATAGCAAGCAACAGTCAGTCAGTTATAAGTTTGTAGCCGAATAAATTATACAGACTAATGAAGTGACTTTTTTATTGCTGCAAGTTACTGCAAACTGTTGTTGTTCCATAAGTCTAGTAAATACGTAATGTATACTGTTCCTGGCATCTGAAACATCTAACTATGCTGGGTTGGCCTGACATATCTTTAATGTGTTATACCAAGCACATAAAGAAATGTTATTGTCCTATATTAAACAGCAATGAAGATTTATTTCAGTAGATTATTAATCTTGCATACATATCTGAAATGGAAGCTGAT